TGACTTGATCTATCTTTCGAGTATTTCTGGGAGAAACCTGAGAGACTCACTTAGTGTTATAGCCTTAGAATGATTTCTTCTTGACTTCTCTTTTTCGAGCAATTCTGGAGTTTTAAGAGCTTGTTTTGGTCTTGTGGACTTAGAATATTTTCTCTGCTCATTTCTGTTTCTCGAACAATTCTGGAGGGACTTTGGAGCTCAATCAGGTTTGTGGACTTAAAATATTTTCTGACCACTTCCTGTTTTTCGAGCAGTTTTGGGTGTCAGGGACTTGGAAGCTCCTCAAAACGCCTCGAAAAGCCATTAGTTTTTGTGAATTTAGAATATTTTCTTGTCAGTCCTGTTTTTCGAGCAGTTTTGAGTGTTAGTGACTTGAAAACTCCTCGAAAAAACTTTTAGTTTTGTGGACTTAGAATATTTTCTTGTCAATCCTGTTTTTCGAGCAGTTTTAGGTGTCAGGGACTTGAAAATTCCTCAAAAGTCCTCAAAAAAGCCTTTAGTTTTGTGGACTTAGAATATTTTATTGGCTTTCAAGTAGCTTAGAGAAAAATTAACAATGTGACAAAAATCTCCTAAAATAGCTCGAAATGTGTCCATTTTAATAAAACTAAAGGTCTTAGATAATCTTTCAATATTCTTTTATGTTTAGATCTATTTTTTGGCTCCTTTTGACCCTCAAAATTTTGTCAAAATACAACTTCCTTCAAGATGATTTTTTTAACTTGAAAAATTTTTCTTATCCCAATCAGTGAGATATTAATATTCAATGAAATACACAAAGAGTATGGTTGAACATTGAATAATTCTTTTTTGCAAAATTTAGAATATATCAATTTTTTTAATTCTTATGCAAATCCATAAACGTAAAAGAAAACAAAAGAATTATTACTTATGCATGTATTATATATATATATATATTATAATTTTTTTTATCATAAATCATACAATATTACATAATTTAATACATTAATGGCATTAAATATTATAATTTTGATAAAAAAATATTTTATTATGCTTCTCTTCGGTGATCAGTGATATTAATGATAACTTAACTACGATTAAATTACTAGTGTACATTAATACTAATGTCTTTACCGTGATTAAATTAGAATAATGTTTCGATTATAGGTCCTCTATTTAAATGTTGCATCCCTCCCCTAACTATTTTCGACTGAGTAGTTCATTTGCATCACCACTGAACTGAACAAGATGAACAACAGCGATCGTGAGCCAGTGCTTCACAGCTTCTTTCCCAACTATAACCATGGCGATGAATCAGAGAACAGTGCCTCCAACAGCAATCTCAACCGTTGCCTCAATCTTAACGACTCCGTCAAAGATAACGTTGTGTCAGTGAACACTTCTTCCGAGGATGTTGGTCATCTGGCCAATGTTGTTGGAGTTGAGAACATAACTGCAAGTGCTGAAGCCAAGATTAATGTGGGTCCTCACACCTGTGCAACCGTAACTGTAACTGCAACTGCACGGGTACAAGAACACCACATGAAACACTACTATTTTTTTAACCATACTACTGCTAACAAAGTTCTTCTTCTTAGTAATTAATAAGGCTGTTTACTAAAATCAAACTCAATATCACAAATTAATCTGAAACAAGTTTTACTGCATGTGTTTAATTATACTGAATTGCATCTTGATAAAAAATTAATAAATAATATATTTTTTATTATAAATTGTAAAAGTTAATATATCAAATTTAGTGATATTATGTCATATTTAATAAAATTTTAATAGTTATATATTTTTATGTTAATGTTATGAACTGGTTTTGTTACTGATTTCTGTGTGTATATTTATTTAAATTTAGGCTGCTGCTGTTACTGTGAAGCGTAGGATAGCAGCGCCAGCAGGTGAAGATTGCTCCGAAGGGTTCAAAAAAGGAAAGACGGTGATCAAGAAAGAAGACCCAGAAGACAGAGAACCAAAGGGGATGTGAAGTGAATTGTAAAATGGTGTTATATACATTAAATTTGAGCACTTTTTTAAATTTCTGTAGCTATGGTGGCGACTGATTTCATGTGGGCAAAACAACGTTTCTTTTGTACACAGAAATATTATATTTATATGACATTATATGCGACATTTCTTTCTCTATCTGATTTTCTTCGTTGTATTGTTTACTTGTCTCATATTTCTTATACAAATTGTTGTATATATCTATGTATGAGCAATGACAGATCTGAAAGTTTTAAGTCGTGGGAGCTGCAAAGGTTGAGGTTAGACATTGAAGTAATTTGTGTAATTATAATCATCCTACTTAGCAAATACTGAGAATAAACATTGAACTAATTGAGTGACATTAAGTGTAATATCACTAAACAGTGCAAACAGTTGATACAAATAATCCATGCATTAAGAATAAAAATCAAAGATCTTGAGGGGGAAGCTGCTCCCATATAAATAATAACATATATTAGTCCATGTGTAGCGTGAACGAATATAATTTCTCTTATATATGTGGCATTGCTTGTGCAATTTGTTCAATTAGTGTTTTTAATCTGGTTTTTGCTTGATATTTTTGGAAAAAAAATATTTTGCTACTTAATTATTTCATTGCAATTGTTTAGCTTGAGTTCATTGGAGATGTTTTTTTGCTTCCAACGAAGTGAATTTCATTAGAGCTTGTGAGGTTAAAGAAGAATCTAAAACGTAGAATTAGAAAAGAAAAAACGACAATGAATGCTCAAATCAGATCATATTATTCATTACATCTTTTATTCTTTTTCTTTTTTTCACCCGCCTGACATTCAAAATGTGTGTGAACATATCATTTTTCGTACTATTTGGGTAAAGAATAGTCGAAAACGGGAGACAAATCATTTCAGAAAAGAATCATTTAATAATGAATTTCAGCTTCACAGATCTCAACAAAACAATGAGACTAACAAAATTGTGAGTATTTAGGTAGCATTTGTTTCTAAAGAATTGTTTTATTCTAAAAAATAAGATTTTTTTGAAACATTATAATTAATGAAGAGTTTTGCAAACTAATACCTTGTGGTTGTGGACATTAAAATCAATAAATAATTTTCTATTAAAATTATATTAGATAGATTAAAAAAATATGAGAAGAGTGTGTTAATAATACGTTTTAACAAAAAAAAATGTTTTAAATTTTTAACCAATGTTTTTAGTATTTGTTTATAAGAATTATACTTTTGAAAATATGTTATACCCATATTTAATATTTTTTTAGAGATAAAAAAACATTCTTAAATATATATAACTATAAGCTAAAAAAATTATAAAAATAAATAGAATTTGTGGTAAAAACTGCCAATCTTCAACACAAATAAATAAAAACAAATGGTATCATGCAAGAGATATCTTTACAAACATTCTAATTTTTTTTTTAAATCATGTTTATTTCCTATAATTTAAGCTTTCGCAAACAAGCTATAAACCGTTTAAGAATTTAAACAGCCAATAAACTATTCAAAGACCAAATATTGTGTTCAATAAATAAAAACCACATCAAACAAAATCCAAAATTTTTCTCTTCAACTTTTATTATATTATATTAAGATGCAGATCCATGCAACACGCATATAAATAAAATCATTTCAAAATGTTTTGGGAACGTATACAAACTTGTATACATTAAAACACTTCCTATGATATAAAAGTAGTTGAGATCGAAGGCGTAATTCACCACGAATCATTTATTTAAGTTTTTAAAGAAATAAATTAAATTAAAGGACGTTTGCAGTTTACAAAAACCCTAAAAGAAACTGTTAGTATTTTCTTAAAAATTAAAGTAATTTCTAAAAACTCTTGATGAACAATATTCATTGGTAAATAAACCTTAGACTCTGGTCTATTAAAGGGGCGAAATATCTTTTTTCTTTTTCTTCTTTTAAGAAATAGCACGCAACATTAGATGTTCAAACAACAAAATCGCAACAGTTCTCGATAATCTCCACATGGACTTTACGAAAGCGGCGTTAGATTCTGATTAATCCAAATCAGACTGATATGACCATTTTAAAATGGAATTTTTTAGCCTCGTTTACTAAAAAGAGAAGCGTTATTGTACTTTTATAATTTTAATATAATAAATATTTTTTTCATATATATATATATATATTTTAATTTATAGCCTTCAACAAAATCTTAAAAAGTTGAAGGGACCAATTTTCTAGCTAATAAATTAAATTTAAATTTACTTCAATTTTAAATTCTTATAATTATTGAAAAGTGAACAAAACGCCAAAATCGTAACTCTACAAGACTACAGTAAAACTGCTGGAAAAAAGACACGTGAAATGAAAGAAATGTCATATAAAGAAACACATAGCAATGTCCTATTTTGTACCTATTTGTTTTACAGGTGTGAAAGAATCAATGTATTGTGTTGGGATATAACAACAACTGAAATCATTGTTTTTTTTCAATTTCCCCATCTTCACTACAACATAAAGCTGAATAAGCAAACGAAAGTAACCTTAAATTCAAATGATTGGGTCACAAGATTTAGGCCGAAGCGAAGGCAACTAGTATGCTGCAAATAAAGGCAGGTAAAATAATGTCAAGTGCTTTCCAAATAAAATCTTATAGAACATTAGTTAAGGACGGATGTGATATGCAATGCCATGGAATTAAAAGTGTATATGAGGAGCAATAGGAGAGATGAAGGGGATTCTAACCCCGACTTAGTTGTGACAAAATTCTAATTAACTGTTTCTTGTTTGTTGGGTTCGGAATTGAATAGTCACCTGTATAATAGGAAGGGGTCTCATTTGTAATTTGAGAAGTTTGAAGAGAACTTGGAACTCTAGAATTATAAAGGGATATTCTTTGTACTAGTTAGTTGTTCTTGCCTAGCCCAGTCTGAATAAATTTTAGAGAATTGGGGATTAGGTTTTCATCAATAATACTTCATTTTGGGGTGGTTCTTCATCTTGTTCTTATCAATACCACAAATATTTCAGTGGCAAATTATGAATTTTAAGTTCAAAACTGCGTGAAGCTTGATCTTCGATATCAGGAGAGGTTTATGTTGAGATCAGGTAGCAAGTAGGTTTTATAATTATAATACATATGCACGAAAAAGAGAAAACTTATCTACACTGTTTTATTGATTTATGTACAACGCAAACGGCACCCCCTAAGTCCTAACACTGCTCTGTGTACTTATCCTAAGTTTCACAGCATAACACACAAAAGCACTCAACAGACTGTACAGCATAGCCTCCAGAAGTGACCTAACAGGACTCTCATTGTCCTGCATTCCAACGACAATCATCTTCAAAAGATATACACAAAACACCACCATATCCAGTATCTACGATCTAATAGTGCCTAAAAAAAAAAAACTCAATCCAAAAGGTATACTTATATATATATATGTGTGTGTGTGTGTGTTCTATATACATGCAAGCAGCTAGAAGCTACATTTTCTTTTAGCAAAAAAACCCTTTGTCCTTTCTCTTGCTTGCTCCCACTTTATGAGCATTCAGAAAATATGTTGAGATCTTTCATCCTATGCAGACAGAACAGCACTCTCAGATTTATCAGTGAGGGATTTGCTGCTAATATTGGCAAACTTTGACTTATCGGAGTCAGCAACATAGGACGAAAGCAGCTTCTTCTGCATTTATAAAGGCAAAGCAAGAAAATAATCAGTCATTAGACTGTGATGCAGTCCATGTTATGAGAAGTAAAATGAAAATAAATTGATGATCGGATTTTGTCAAGCAGAATAACAAGACAATACTTGCAGTGCTAGGATGGAAGATACATTACACTAAACGTGGGAGTTGATCTCTCTCTTATTAGAATATAAGAAAAGAGGACAGCTGAAGAACGATACATCCCATTCAAAATGAATACGAATAAAATAATCCATCCTACTCTTAATGTGCGGGTAACTTTTCTATTCTACATGTGTGTGGAAATAGTCATAATATCCAACAGTTCTAATTTCTAAACATCGTTGAGGTGTTGAGATAAGTTAAATTGTACATTTAGTCTTTATAATGTACACATTTACAGATTAGTTCTTATACTTAAAAAAGTTATATTTTGATCTCGTGTTTTATTATGTTTTGGTCCTTGTGCTTTATGTTTTGATCCCTTCTGATATGACGATGTTTATGACGATGTTAACAATAGAAGAGACCAAATTATAATTAATTATTTGAAGTATAGGAATTAAATTGTAAGTTTTTTGTTAAGTATTGAGACTAATTTGTAAATATTTTAAATATAGAAATTAAATATATATTTTAACTAAATATAATTTTAAAAAAATTGTACAATTTGAGTTTAAGTATCTTAACTAGGCATTTGTGCAACTTTTGTAAAGATCAACCATTTAATTAAACTTATATGATATAAATTTCCATATCTTTGAAAAATCCTTTAATAAAAATAAGATATTTATTATATTTGAGATGTAAACTTGTACTATTACTCAAAATTTTAGAGGATCAACTTCATTACATAAATGAATTTGTAAATTTTTTAATATAATATAAATAAACAATTCTTAATATATTGACTCAATTTTAGATAAAAAAATATTTAGACATATCTAATTTATTTTTTGTCCTATTATATAGGCTAAAAAATACTAAATATTGTTTTAATTGTAATAACTTTTTATTATATGTGAATTATTCTCAGTATTATATTAACTATAATTATTATATTATTTTATTTATTTATGTATTATCAAATCAATAAGTTTTATCATAAATATATATGATCTTAAATTATAAATGATATTTAACTTAAATATATGAATTTTCAGTATTTTTTAAATTCATAATTCTTTTATTTAGTAGCTCATTTTTAATTTTTACAAAAGTTGACTCAAAATCTTCCTTTTATTTAAAATATATTTTTGATCCTTATAATTAAGGTTTGTTTATGAAATAGTCCTTACACTTAAACAAACTTATATTTTAGTTCCTTCACAAGTACTTTGTTTCGTTTTAGTCCTTACCGATGAATTATTAATAGTGAGGACTAAAACGTAAAAAAATTCATATAGGGACCAAAAAGTAACTTTTTTAAGACTAAATATATAATTTAACCTAAATTTTATCACTTCAAAAATAGGAATTAGAAATGGGCCTATTTTATTTCTTACATCTTCAAATAATAGTGCAAGCACTAAATTATGAGCATTTTATGAGGCTTCCAGCAACAAAATAACAATATAGCAAAATGAATCGGTTTACTAATCTTTTGTCATGTTGCATAATTAAAGCAATAGAGGATTAAAAGATGACTTTGACATCAAACTAAATTAATGCACACAGTAACTTTGTTTGTTGGAAACATGCCAAGAGAAAAAGTGCTATCTATTTGAAAACAAACTTACATGATCCTCAAATTCAGGACTCATTAAATTGATGGAGAGATTTCTAACCAACAACAATACCTGCAAAACAGGTCAAAAACCATTACTCAGGCAGATAAGCTATGAATTTAAACCAGAAACATTAGACTCCGTTTTCAACCCAAAGAGCTCTGTAAAAAAGGAATGATACAGGCAAAAAAAAGAAAGAACTTGAATATAATTACCGTTTCCACATTTATTGGGTCCATCAATCTTAGTCTCTGCAGGTGATTACTTGAATTTGGATCAAATACACTGCCAATGAAGCTGTAGACTTGTGCAAAATCTGGCATTACTGCATAGAGAAGGTTAACTTATCAACAAGAGCATGGCATGGCACAACATAACTTATTAACATATGCTTAACAATCATAACATCAGACATATAGCATCCCACAACATAACAAACTGAATAATATTAATACTATTCATAAACATTACTATTTAGACACAAATTAGATGCTGTATGAGTTAAAGGATGATGTAAATGAATAAAACAAACTATCGTATTAATGTTAGGAAAATGGGCAAAAATTATTCAGGTATTTGTATGCACTACTCACTCCAGAAAGTAAATTCAGAATAGAGAACAAGTAGTACTCTTCATTTTATAAGGCCTAGATGTGTAGAATTAACATATTCTTGCCCAGCCGCATATGTTGAATTAAAAGCCGTCTCAACTACTGAGTAGTCAGCCCCTAAACCAACTCTTATTCAAGTATATCATCATATCTAGCAGAGATCCTGGCCCACAAAAGTTAGAATTTTACTGTTACTCCTGTTGTCCCTATGATGTAGCTTCTCTAGGGTTTTACAATTTGTTTCTTTTATTCTTTTTGAACAATTCTCTAGGGTTTTATTCTCTGGCTCTGCTTGTATGAAAACATACTAAAGAAACACGTTATTTTAGCATGTGTTTTTCTTCCTTGAACTGAAAGCTTTAAGGAACGCCATGTTATTCCTTATGTATGGTTCCTGTTAACTTTACCAAAACCAATTCAAAAACTTAATTCAACATTAAATTTTCATGTTCTGTTGATCTTAGATACATTTTTTCAAGTTCAGTCCAACGTAATTATAGTCACTAAACTTCTATCGCACTATGTCCATCCTGCTATGTTATATGTCTCTTCACAATTAACATTTTATTCAGTAAGATTGGAAATTCAAAATCATGGCAGCTTCTTTATCCAAGCATAGCAGCAGTTCAGCACAGGTATTATATAATTTAGGTGAAATAAGCCTAGTCTAATGAATAAGAACCTGATAATTTCTTCTTCCAGCTCAATAACCTAATGAATCAAAATCTTTGTTTTTTTACCATTTGATTCCCATGTAGAATTCTACAACACCACCAATAACTGCATATGACACGGGGGACTATCAGGCAATGCCAAAATCAGATCCAAGAGTTTTGGGACTTCTTTTTCAGTTTTTCTGGCTTGGCTTGAATCAAAACTCTAGAAGAGTACCACTATCACAAACTAAATTCTCTAAGTTCTATTACAAGATCTGATTGTTATATTGTGATTATGCCATTATGTAAATTTCAAGCTGAATTAATTTCACATTAAGAGATAATAAAGCATTCCCAACCTTTAATTGGCTTGGCCTGGTCACCTTGATTAATTCTTTTGTTACTTGGCCAAGCCGGAGGGGTGCTCTCATTACTACTGCTATAGCAACAATTATGAGGAACAGCTTGTCCAGCTCCAGTCAATCCCATGTCATCTAAAAAAAAAACAAAAAACTCTCCAAGTTAGCACATCCTTTCTCATAGATTCATCAAAGAATATACTCTGAAAAATACATATTTGAATAACAAAAAAAATGTAAAGCAAGCACTGTGAGTACAAGACAAATAAAACCTCGAGTCACTTGTGGCACATTGACAGGTGGTGGAGCACTATAATTCCAAGATGATAACGGCATGGTAGTAACTGGTGTTCCGAGCACAGATGAAGAATCGGGGCTATATATGTATGCAGGTTCAATGAAAGCAGATGAAGATTGCAATGAGCCCGTAGCTTGTGAAACAGTATGAGCTGATAAAATGCAAAAATAAAAACCAGTGTTATTCAAAATTTGATACAACAGACAAAAACCACTTAATGTGGTTGGCTTTGGCTATACTAACCACTCTTAGGAGCTTTTTGAGGGTACGGGTGAGCAGCTTTTCTTTTTGGCCTCGGAGGAGGTACATGTTCGCTTGTTCCATTCTTCTGAACTTTAAGAAAATACTTCTGTGCATGACTTCGTATCTTACAAGAAGGAATTTACATATAAAAGTAAATAAAGGATAGTTGAGGAACATGTAATGAATGTTCAGAAATTTACTGAGAGAAAATTGATGAAATAAACACTATATACATTTATAATCCGGAGGAGTTAAAAATAAAGGTATGTCCTCTTTTTGCTACCTAATTAACCATGCAACAAAAAAAAAAAACAGACTACGTTCTCAATCCTATCATCAAGCCTTAAATTAAGAGAAAAAAACATAGGAGAAGAAATTGCATTTTATTATGATGCGACAAAATCTAGACCAAAATATGTACTTTATTGATTTGATGAACAAAAAATAAAATTGGTTAGCTAGTAAGAGCAAACATAAAAAGAGCACAAAAACTATTAGAAGAAATAAACACAGGTCTGGGGCCTCAAATGACAGTCTTTTGGAAACCAAGTCAACATTTACCCATCGTCACATATGATATGATATTCAGTAATGACACTTAATAGATTTCACCAAATAGATAGTATGGAATTCCAAATTCAAGAATAATGTGAAATCGTGAACAAATTTATTATTTTCATTTTTCACTGTTTCAAAAGATGTCAAAACAATCTAATGCACAAGTAACTTGTTCTTTGTTTCCTTGACTTTTATAATAATTACCTGGATAACTGTTTTTGAACCAACAAACGCTTCAATCTTTTTCCAGTCACGATCAAATCTGAAATCAGTAAAAAAAAAAAAACAACAGAAGAAATGAGCAAAATTAAACAAATAAACCAGAAGCCACCATTAACATTACATATACTAGTTTTGGCATGCAATCAGTGGAAGAAGAAATAAAAACTTGTTTTAGGTGCATATGTGATGTTATCCAGAAAGTATGGGATTGAATTTCATGGCAAGCACAATATACGCTTGAAAAATGCGCACCAACTATATGGCTTGGCCTTAAGTTCTAAACTCATCAATGACCATGATGTTTTCTGATACTTTTCTTGAGTTAATGGATTTGCCTAGATAAGGTGTTCCCCACAACACCATTAATGTACTGATTATCAACTAAATGTTTAATGATCTATCCACTTCGTTCTAAAAAACATTTCATTACAGTATCCGCACTTTGCTGCTTGTTCCTTTCATCGGAAGGGCAAACTATTGTTGAAAAGTTTAAACAAAATATGCTGTAAATAAACCATTAACTCATGAAATCATAAAAGTAATATCTTAAAACAGAGCGCTGTCTTCTCTGATATGTACATGCATGACGCTCTTTCAGGATTTCAGTTAGTCGGGTTTAATTGTGTGTTCTCAGCATGACCAAACACAAAATGTCAAAAGTAGTGAGAATTGAATTGCTTCTCGCTATGATACTTATATCCACACCCTACATTCAAATCGTTAACTAGTTCACACCTCACCAGAATTGAACTAAGGTTAATCTTACAGTCATTAATGAAAAACCGCATAACGAAATTTTAATTCTCCCATCCCACAATAATTCCAGGATTCAACCTTTATCTTACTCGAAAGTAAAAAATCAAAAGCACATTAATAAAATAACAGCAATCAAACTATCAAAAATTTTAAAATAGCACAGAATTTCGAAAACCCCAATTAAAAAACGAGTATAAAAGATAACCTCTGAGGCTTTACGCTACAGTCATTTATTCTATACTAAGTACTTGATTGATTAAAAACCCTGACTCACAATTAATGAATCACCAATGATTGTCTAGAAAAAAAAAAAAAACTGGGAAATTGCCCCAAAAATATCAAAGTTATCACTTATCAACTAATCCCTCACCAGCACCAAATTCAGAACACGGGAATTTCAATTCCACGAAAACGATAGAAAAAAATATATATACAAAATAAAAAAAATAAGGAACTCACAATTGAAGAGCTTCTAGAAACTTGTCGTGCTCCTGCTCGGTCCAGCTCTCCCTGGACTTAGTAATCGTGTAGGGTTTTCGGATCTTCTTAGTCGGATCCTCAGCGGCGGAGGATGCGGCGGCGGGAGCAGGAGGTGGCGGTAGTGGCGGAGGAAGGGGATTGACGCCGGGAAGTGCCATATTGGAAGGATCGAAGAAGTAAAAGCCTTGAGCTGGATTAGGGTTCACCGACACCATCAAGACCAAAAGCGTAACCGAACCTCGATCGATTCTGCTAGTGTTTGTTGTTCCCTACTTTGCTTCTGCTTCTGCTTCTGGGTTTTCCAACAACCTTTGTTTCTGTCACTCTGTGTCGTTCTTCTTGTTCGTCCTTGCGATTTTCTGTTTCGTAATCTTAAACGCCACCAACCTTTTATATAGAAATCCAGAAGCTCTTGAAATTACCTTGCTGTCCTTGGACCTCTTCAGCACCTTAGCGACAAGTCAGTTAGTCACCATGGCGGTTAAGTGAATATCCTGCTTTGCGCCCTCTTTTTTCTGGATACAGATTATTCCTTATTTTATTTTATTTGTTTAGATTTTTTATATTTTTAATTCAATAAATTTTTAATATTTAAATTTAATCTTAAAAATAAAATTAACAAAATTATTTTTACTAATTTATAAAGATGTTAACAACATAATTTTTAACACACTAAATTATTGGTTAAAATTCATTAAAAATTATATAATCATATTTTTTTTCCTGAGTCTCTCTCATAACTTCGTATTTTTCTAGTAAGTAGGAGTGTGCTTCTAGCACTCTTCTAATTAGGTTGTAATTTGTTTTATGAAGTGAATTGTTTTTTTCTAACTTTATTTTTTAATTATAATTCAGTACTTATCTTAATCCACTCAATCAACTTAATTAAAGTTAGATATTTTAAGTTACATGTTATAACTTGAAATAGATTAAAAAAACAGAAGACAAAGCTCTCGCAAGGAAATGTGCAATGAAATTATATGATAATTTAATACCCATAAATTTAAATGCAAAAGTGACTGTAGAACTAAGGGGAAAAAGAACAGAAGCGTAGCTTCAAAGGTCCTATGTTGACCTTTATGAGAAAATGATGTCTCCTTTGGTCCTTACAAAATCTAAAGTGATAAGATGGAAGGGTGGGGAATTAATAGAAAATTGCGACAATCATTGAAACTTAGGGTAAAATACAAGAGGTAGTGGCACATTAGCTTTTGAGAGGGATTAACTTGGACTCTGTAATTCTTTGCTTAAAAAAACAACTTATTTTATGTCATTAGAAACAGTGTATGTTGTTGCAGTGAGTGATAGTTATTATATAATTAAGTTACCATTCCGTTTTTTAAACAACTTGGTATAAACATCATATAAAAAAGGCAATTTTAGGTTCTCTTGGAATCGAAACGTCGCAAGTTTGGAATTACAAAGATGATAGTACAAAAAGAAAGTCCATTAAAATTGCAAACAGTAAGTTTAGTTTTGAAGTCTTGAAATATGAGCGATTATGGTCGGTGAAATGGATCCAGCGATGATCACAGAAAACCATATTAAAACAAACGCAAATTATGGGACGCCAAATGGAGTGAGTGTAAATTACCATTTTATCCCTATTCCCTACCTGTGTTACCGAACTAGGTTACTTTACGTGGGAAAATTCAAGTTCTAGCTTGATCCAGAAGAGGACTCACCAAGCCAACAAAGACAAGTATTATCATGCCTATAGCCTTGAAATAAAAACACTTATTTTATGATTGATCACTAAATTAATATTATGTTGTTATTATTGTTTTATGTTCTAAAAATATATCTTATTCATAAAAGAGATATTTTTAAATATCTTACTTTATCAATTCAAAAAATACAGTTAGTCACATCTAAAAGTTGTAAATTACGCTTTAGGGTTGGGGTTATAGTAAAAATTGTCGTGCCCACGATTTTAATCATAATAAATAAACTTGAATACTCAGTTAAACTAAATAAAATTCATTGATTTTAATAATAATTTACTTTAAGACAAACATGAAACAGTTTAGTCACATAAAATAAAAAAATGTTTGAAAGAATATATTAAAAATCATTAACTGTAAGAAATTAATTCTAATTTACCTGAAAAATTCATTTTGTTTTTTTAAGCATTATCGGAGATTGTAATGAAATTATGAAAGTGAGTAGTAAAAGGGTAAAACCAAATGACAAATCTTGATTTTTATTTAATTAAGTCTTTGGGTTTGTCAATAATAATGAATTAATAAAATCTATATATTAATAATAATTAACTATTATAATCAAAATGATATGTATTATAATGATATAGTATCCATTTATTTTAAAGTTAGAAAAAATAATTTTAAACTATTAAAAACAATTGAAAAGTGTGTCAAAGTTAACCTAAGTTACAGATTTTACATTAGAACGCATACATAGTAAAAGAAAATGATTTTAAAGGGAAAACAAACAATCCCATAATAACATAAACAATGTTTAAGTATGAAGTTTTAAAAATAAAATATTTAAGAAAACCCATAAGAATTAGATGTGTTGAATCTTAAAATGATTTACAAAATTAATTTTATTCACTTATTTGATGTCAATTGAATATAATTAATAAATAAATATTAAAAGGTAGATAAATAATTAAGAGTTTGAATCCTTTAAGCATTAACCTAAAGGTTGCATGGGACCCCAATGGCTTCAAGTTTAGGTGAAGCACATGATATTTTGGTCCAAAGCCCCCTCAGCAGTCAGATCAATTACTTTGGACGGCCCATAAACATAAATTCCACAGCCACATGCACATGCTTCATTATTACGCCTTTCTCTGGTTCATTCTTTGAGATCAAGCAATGTTTCCCACAAACAAGTACCTTTATAAGTTATTATTGCTTTTGATCTAAAGATGTTTATAATCTAATTTGACTTTAAAAAAATGAGTATGATTTAACACACGTTACCGCATGTTGAGGACGGTTTTTGCAATCAACACGCTCAAATCTCATTGATAATTTGATTTTAACATGACACATATGACAATGTCTTGTTCTGTTGACGTAAAATGAATGTGTTAGAGAATAGAATGAATGCCATACAACATGAAAACATCATTGATTCAACTTGAAAAATACATTAGTGACATTATTAGAAATGAAATTAGAAAGAACAATTCAAACTTAAACCATTTGTCGAGGAGGAGTGAGGCAAGATCCTAAAAAAAGCTAATGATGAAAAATAAAGTTGAATTTGCTTCGGCACCAATGAAAATACCATAATCTTCCATAAAGAAACCTTTTAAATAGTCTTTCATCTTAATTCCATAAAGTTATATTTTGACAAGAATGATTTACAAGCTTATCCTTATAAACTAGGATTTGAATAATTTTATGTTTGAATAACAAGACAAGATTATGGTTAGGGATATAAACAGGTGAAACAACCTAATAAGGGTCTATAGCTTGATTTCCTTAATAAATAAATAAATCTTAAATTCTTTTAAAATTTTATTTAAATAAATAAGTTAAGTTTAAACTATTTACAAAACTTGTTAAATTTGACAGTTTTCTATATATTTAAGATTCACTCTTTATTTATAGTCTATTTATTACATGTTTGCTAGTTTAAGTCTGTTTAAGCTTGTTATTGACCTAAGCCTAATAGTCTAATAAAAGTTATTTTTTATAATAGACTTTGTTAATAGGTTTCAAGTTAAGCTAGACCATCCAAATATGTCATACTAGATCATATCAAAAATAAGATCTTTAACAGATAATAGGTCAAGTCCAAAAATTATGTTATAGGCCTAGTCTAGCCTAACTTATTTCCATGCCTAGTTATATTAGGTAGAAAAAATATAATTTTTATTAATTTTAATTAATAAAACTTATAATTAATTAAATTATAATTTTTATCGGTCTTTCTCTTTTTAATATATTAATTATGGTCTAGTTTGAGTGAGTTTGTATATAAGTCTTTGTAAAAAAATAATATAAAAATTAAATACATTTTTTTCATAAATTAAGTTTTATTTATTTTTTATATATTATTTAGAAAGACTTATTAATAAGCTTACTCAAAATATTTTATATCTTATTATTTATCACCATGAAAAAAATGAAAATATAATAAATATGTAAGTATCTCTAGCCTAAAACTCCAAAGAAAGTAAAAAATAAATTTATTCCATATTAATTCAACTTATCAAAACAAATTCTTGCTTGTTTTTATCAATTTTTAAATAAAACTTTTAAAAAAATAAACGATTCTTTTTCCTGCAAAAAGCCAAAACAAACGTGTACAGTAAAATAGTGAAGAAACATGGCTCTGAAACCACTCTAGCAAAGTCTCAACACCATAAGCAACGAGCTACCTTTATGTCTCACAACCAGTTACCCAATGGACACGAAACTATTTGAGTCTCAACTAGACGTGCAAATTATGGAATGGAACAGAAATATGTAAAGATAACAAAAAGAACTTACCAACGGATTCCTAGTACTATTGCCTTTATATGTAATTTATTCTTGCATAGATTCAATTGGTGTTTTCTAGTTTTTGAATTTTCTGAGGAAGCACGTTAATATAAGAGCCATTGCTTAAAGCTTGATCAGTGCCACTCATAGCAGTATTTTTTTTTTCTTTTTATCTATACTATGTTTCTCCAATGCAGAAGGATCTTCAGCTTTTATTTAGACTTTTGGCTTGCATGCTTCTATCTGGCCTTTTCACTTCATTCTCCTCTTTTATGGGCTCTTATTTGATAAAACAGTTTATGTAACGTGTATTTGAAAACACAGAATAAAAATAATAATAAAGAATAATTTTTTATTAAAAATTATGATATTTAATATTGTCAATACATCATTTTTTTAATATGTATATTCTATCAATTAAAAATGTGTTGTTTCCCTTAACATGACAGCATATGTTACTTGTCAACATAAGAGGTAACAAAGAAGATGAAAACAAGGAAACTAAAATACACGGCCATAACAAATCGTTGCAAATAGGCCCCAAAGAAATCAGAATGCATCGTGAGAATCACGTCATTTGGAGGAGAATTCAGCTAAAGGTATCCATAATCATTTGCCAGGGTACAATTGGCTAGTCAGTCAACACATCTATTAGTCTTTACTTAGATATATTAATCCATATATATGTTTTTTCATGATATATAGCATAATTACATAATATTAATTTTTATCTGATTATCAATACTTTACCATATAAGAATATTTTAATTTAAGTAAATGCTCAAGTCTTTTCATTTGCTCCAGTAAACACTTCAAAAAACTAATTTGGATCACTAATAATTGTCAAGGACTAAATTAGGATACAAAGCATAATTTTGAGGACTAATCATGTGCAAAAATAAAAAGGAAATGATTAATGAATTATAATGCTCCACGTTTATAATCATGAAGTATTAAATGATTAATTTCTGTTTTCGTTTGACCAAAGTTAGCCCTTTACTCGTTTTGTTTCACTGAATACTTGGCAACAAGAACACACGTCTTTTACAGTGACTAGACATCAAGAACAGAACACTTCAAATAGGCACCTCTGAGACTGAACACTTGCATGTAATGTAATCACTAAGCATCAAACGCACACTCTTGCTTGACATGCTCCACCCTCTAGCTTGCACTGCCAACCCCTGTTTAGATACACGTGTGTTTCTGTTGATAATCTTTCTGGTGGCACCATTTTAAGCCACAAAATTAACTTCTTTAAAGTGAAAAAAAAAACAATTATTTTGTTAATTTAAAATTAATTATATTTACAAAATATTTTAATTTAAATCAACAATAAATAAACTTTTACGTTTTATCATAGAACAGCGGCCTCGGAATCCATCCCATGCATTAAATACATTTCATCTTGACATAAAGCTTATAAAATAAATTTATTTATGAACTTTAGAGTAAATATATTATAATTTATTGACCATGAAAACAAATACACGCGAACCTGTTTCATCTTGTTGAGCCATGTTTTTTTACCAGGGAAGTTTCATCAAATTATCAGCGTTCTATGGTCGTGACTCGTGACAGAAGCTTAAAATTTCCAGAATAAACGTATAAAACTTACAATTGTTGAAACAAATTAGAAATAATCTTTCTGGAAAGGGAAAATAGTGCTAAAAAAATCCATTCACCATTGGAACAGAAATATATATTTATACTTATCAAAATTTGTATCAAATGACAATATATATCTACAAGCCAACAAACAGTAACACCTCGGTACATGCTCATAGTCAAAACTCAAAACCTCTGGACCTTATGCTGGTCACTGAACACCAGATTCTGCTGGCACACCACATCCTCAAAGCTGTTGTATTGCTCTTTTATTGATATCTATTGTTGTGGGAGGATCAGATACAATTTACATGAAATGGAAATCTGCAAGTCTACATGATACATGAAGGTATCATGAGGAAAGCTACAAAACAAAACGATGCACTAGTAACCTCCACTCATCTACAAAACTTGCGCTTCATGCATTCAACTTGTTGAAATTTCAATTCAGAGGTTCCTCCTCCAGGAATGTCCCACCTTTGATTGAACTCCAGTATGTTTTCTCGCTCCTGTCGTTAGACTAGAGTAGTGAACTCCTTATTACTGCTAGAGTAGTGAATTCCTTATCACTGCTTAGAAAAATCTCCTCCTGAAATTTCTGGTTGTCGTTTGATATGAACGCATGAGCAATCCAACACCGATTCCAATCCCAACACACATCCCAAGGCCAATTCCAACGCCAACTCTAACACCAGCATTGAACCATGAGAGTTGTCCGTCGTCGTCAGGATACATCTCTTGAGAGTAGAAACCATTCCCCATCTTCTCATCAGAATCATAATCATCAACTTCAGACCCCGTTAGCTGCACAGTATCATCGATATGAAATAATTGATATTTCAGAAATCGTAAGGTACAGGGAAGAGACAGCGAAGCTAGACCTCTACTACCCATATCTTGACCAAATGTATTAAAAAAAGTCACTGCATTTGGAGACCAATAAAAACTAGGAAGTTCAATTATTTTATGAAAAAGTGGGATAGGTATAAGCATTACAATATAACTGCATGGAGCAAGTCAGATAGGAAGTCTATGTTCAACCATAAGAAATAACAGATAGTGAGGCTATAATTTCTGAACATTCAACCATAATGGTTCAAGTAGGAAACAGAGTAGATGGGAACTGGGAACCAGTTCAGCAGACAATAATTGACATGGAAGTTATGTGACTGAGTTTATCAGCAATGGAGAACTTAACTTTCATCACTTATCAGCTTAATATCTAACAACCAATTAAGAGTTCCTCATTAACCAAGGGGTAACCAAGTTCACACAATAAGAGTCTGTTTGTTACCACGTTTGCACCTTCATTGCACTGCAGTGAAATTTTTCTGCTCTCACTAGACATGCCTTATAAAGTGCACTAACTCTGTTACATTAGTAATACAAAGTATAAACAAGCTCCAAGTGTTATTGCTAGCCTCATCTTGCATCCGTTGAGGTTCGTTAAAAAAAACTTGTGTTTAGTAAGGTACTCCCTTGGTAGTGCGATTCCAACTTCCAATAATCAAACATTTATCATGATTGGCAATCCATGGTAATATAGCAGCATAAAAAAGTGTTGAAAACTGATAATGGATGAAAATCAAATCCAAATAACTTCCACTTCAGTGGTTCTGATTATGATACAGACAAAAGAATGCTCTCATTCATGCCTCTTTTCTAAACTTTCTTGCTGTATACAGCTTATCAAAAATGAAAAATCAAATTTCCATTCTTTCACAAAGTAAGCATATTCAAATAAACGGACCCACATATTTAATATTACTCCAGCATCGAAAATGTATATGGACTATGGAAGGCGTTTAAAAGAGCTTATAAAAATAAGCTATAATTCCCATGTTATTTCTAACTTATATCAATAAGCTTTTGAGTATAACTTAGTAAAATAAGCTTTTTTCCACTTATTTTAACAAATTTTATGGTCAAATTTATGGCATAAGCGTTAGTATAAAAAGAACTTGGAATACATTTGAAAACACAATTTAATTAAGCCTTGTCCAATAAGCTCTTTCGAACGCCTCCTTGTTGAAGGAGGGCTTAATTAATCAGTGTTTTCAAAATGCGAAATCATAATTTTCAGGTAAAAATCAAATACCTGCAATTTCCGATGATGAATGAAACCGTTGACACCAGTGCGGTTCTTCTCCATCATTTCCTCATCTTCAGGAATAGCATCCAACGTGGCATGCCTGGGAACTCTCCTCCGGGGACTCATCTGAATCGTCTTGCTCAGAATCACCGGCACGCCGGAGCAACACCCCGCAACATAAACCTCAATCGACGGCGCCGAAACCCCAAGTTTGGGCCTGAAAAAGGCCGAACACCCCGACCCAATGGACTCCAGGCCCACATGACAATCCATGCTCCAACCCGACCCGTTTCCCCACTCGGAGTCCAACCGCTCCAACGACCCGCATAGGAACAATCCCTCGTTCTCATACACCTCGAAGTCGGCGCTGCCGCTCAGACGCACGCTGTCGGTGGCGACGTAGGTGACCTCGGCGGCGTCACGGTCAACGCGGTCTCGCCGGAGAGGGATCGGTGCTGGCTCCGACGCCGGCACCGGAGAACCATTGATGACGAAGGAAACGCCGATTTGACGGTGGGGGTGGCAGAGGGTGAGGTGATCGGGGACGCTGTTGACGACGCAGGGTGAGATTCGAACGTAGAAGAGTCTGATTTCGAGGCACGCCGAATGGGTCAACGAAGGGAAGGTCAACGAGTTCGAAGTTTTCGAAATCGCTTCGTCTTGTTGATCCATATACGGATCCAATTTCCCTTTAAGAACAAATAAAGGAATGTGAAATTTGTTAATTGGGATTGAGAAGAGGGAAGAAAAAAAATGGGGAATTTGTGAATTGTGAGAGGGGAAGTAGAAATCTGGGTTGGGGATTGTTTGGTGAAATGCGTTAGGTAATGAGAAGAGAGAAAGGAGGTGCGGAAAAAAAGGGGGTTTAACTACGGCGTTTAGACGAAGGAGAAAGAGAAAGGAAGGGCGTGTTTGTATTTCGGGGAAAACAAGAAAAAATTGGGTTTTGATTTGTTTTATTTTGATAAATTGATTTGTAAAAGGTAAAAATAGGGAAAGGGAAAGAGATATTATTGGAAGAAGTCAAAAGAAAACAAAGGGATATGAGAAATTGAGAACGGAGAGAGAGAGAGAGAGGCGGTTTTTCTTGCAGTCACCGTCATACTCTCCTCTGTTTTGTTTTCTGCTTTCAACAAATAAGACTGTAACTGCTACTAGTTAGGGCTGGGGTAGCGCTCTCTCTCTCTCTTTCTCTCTCTCTCTCTCTCTCTCTCTCTCTCTTAATACATATTTATTCTAGGAAATGTTCACAAAGGATTTTGACCACTCTGATCAATAAGAATTTTTAATTTTTTTAGTTTAAAATTAACAATTACCGTTATAATAGATTTTAAATTTTATAATTTTAATTTTAATAAATTTTACAAATTAAAAATCTTTTAAGTATTAAATATTTAAAACAGATTTTTTAAAAATATTTTTCTTTTAAAACAAATATTTTACAAAACATAATTATAACCTTTTTTTATTTACATAAAATTTACTCTCTTTCATTTTTATTTCTAAGTTATTTTAAGTATTTTTGTAATATTTTTAATAATCAGTTTAATAAATTCAATAATTTCAATAGTTAAAAAATAAAAGTTTGAAATAAATATTTAAGATAAGAGTTTGAACATAATTAAGTAATTTTTGTTTTGAATAATATATAAAATCTTTGTTTAATTTCTTTTTTTAAATATTTTTTTCAAATTTTTATCTTTTAAATTTCAACTACAATAATTAAATTTATCAAACTAATTGTTAGAAACATAAAAAAATTAAATTAACTTAAAAAATAATAAAAGAGAATGAATCTGAGAAAATAAAATAAAATTTTATGTGAATGAAAATTTTAAACTTCTTTTTATAATTATTACAATTATGTTTTTAAAAGATAGTTATTTAAAAAAATTAAATAACTTATTTTAAATATATAATATTTTCAAAATTTTAATCTACAACTTTTATTAAGAATTAAATTATAAATATTATAACTTTTAAAACATGTTATAATAAGTCATCTAATTAACTTATTTATGAATTATCTAATACACTAATTCACTCTAGCCATCACTAATACTAACGTGACTTGTAAATTTTTTAAAAAATATTCAATATAATAAAAAAAATTAATTTAATAAAAGACTTGCATTTTTTAATAATATTTGACTCTTTTAGTGCTATATAAATTTTTCAAAATTGTTTTTGTATTTTAATTTTTAAATAAATTATTATAAAATATGTTTACTATTAGATGGGTTTTTGTTTAGTGTTTGATTTTTTATTTAGTTTCTCTAAATATTATATGGTGCATGTAAATCATATCCATGTATTGATGCATGTCCCGATAGTTCTCATCATAATTATCACCACAAAAACTCGCTCCAGCCCCCATATGAGTTGGCAGCCAATTTTAACGCTCAATTGGACTTTAACATACCCATTTGCTTTGCTCGTAATGTAGCATTGGGCCTAATAAGAATATGGACCGTGCATAAGCCCAATTCATTCAGATTAAATGAATAATTAATGGGCTTGGTCCAATAACAATAAAAAAAAATTTATATATTTGAGACTTGAGCAGATACGTGTGAAGCAAAAATTTACAACTTTGTTTAAATAAAAATTGTATGTTAAAAAGTTTATAATTTTATTTGATAAAAAATTGTTGTAAGCAGTGCAGTTGTATCGTAAGTTGATGGATATAAAGTAAGAGATGTTAAGCCACTTAAGTTTGTTAATTTTTTTTAGTCCAACACTACCTTTATAGTTATAATCTTTTTACAAAAAGAAATATCTTAATAATCTCTCTACCTTTCTAATTACTCTTATCTAGCCATGTGAAGCTTGACAAAAAATGACAAAACCATATGAAGAACCTTAACCTAAAAAAACCATAAATCATGTTATTTAATAATATTTTCTTTGTTTTTTATTTTAAATTACATAAATTGAATAATTCAATAATTTTATCATACAATTAACTGCTAATATTATTATTCATTTAATAAATGGTAGGGATTAATTTATTGCCTTTTTATATAATATCAAAATATGAATTTTTTTATCACGTACAGTGAGTAAAATATAATTCGACATAAGTATACAGACAATTATCTTTTAAATAAAAGTGAAGAATGACTTTATATATATTATTGTTTAATGGATAACAAACTAAAATGCTACGTTACGTTTAGCAGAGTGTCCTTTAATTTGCTGCATAGAAGAGAAGTTCGAAGGTGAATTTTGAGGAAAAAATAATTTTTTTATAAAATAGAAATATAAAAGAAATAATTTAAAAGTATGTACATAAGCAATACTAGATCGCTGTCAATGTACTCAAAAGATCTAATTGTCTATCAAGTATACCAAACTTTATCAGTTCATGAGAATGGATTATTAACTATTATATATTCAGTCTATTTAAATGATAACAGGTAAATAATAAAGATGTTTGGAGATTGGATTGAATTAATTCTTATGAAATAATTATTTTTTATAATCATAAAAATAGAATGCAATTCAATTTTATTTTTTAAATAATTTTGACATAATTAAAGTGGCTTGGAACGTAGCTTAAAAATATAAAATATTTTGTTGAGAAAAATATAACTAACAAATTCAAAACTCATCCGAATGTTAATTTCTTGAAAGCAACTTAAAAAAAGTGTAGCATTTATAGGTTATATTCTTTTGAAAATTTTAAAAGAAATTTTCTGTTAAACACTCTTAAACTTTGTTCGGATAAGATGAGTTTATGAGACAAAAATTGAGAACTATAATTCTATGTAAAAAAGAGAAGGGAAGTTTTTTCTTCTTTTTTAATTTGCCTAAAAGAAACAGTGAATTCTTTTATTTATTTATTTAATGTTAAATATTGTTATTGTAATACAAATAAATAAGAATTAATTTTTTATTATATTATTATAATTTTTATACAATATATTTATTCTTTTACTCTTTTTTTACATTTAAATAATTTTTTTATTATTTTAATTCACATGCATAAATTATTTTTACTTTGTCCCTTATTCATTCACTTTTTCTTTACCTTTTCACTCTATTTTATAAAATCATCCAAACAAACCGTTAATCTTGCATACATCCTAAAGATAACACACAATCACTCAACATAAAAAATTAACGATAGTATTAAATTTTCTTAATATATCTTTTTATAAATTTAAAATATTTTTTATTCAATATTAATTTTTTAAGCAAATGAATATGAGAAGTTATGTTGAAAATATATTGCTAGTATATTACTCTCAACTTGACCGTGCCGTACAATTGTATACGGTACAGTGTGCCACTCAGAATGACCCAACAACCAGTTCTGGTCCTGCTTGTGGGTCCCAACCTAGCGTGCATCTCACAAAATGTCTTTGCATTTGTTGGGGAAAAATATGCTGCCAATTTCTTAATTTTTCATGCTGTGCGTAAATTTGAAGGCTTTTTTATTTAAATATAATTTAAAAAAATATATAAATAAAAAAATATTTTATAGTATTATGTTAGTTATTTTATTTTTATTTTGAATGGTGATCATAATTTTTATGTAAATTTAAATTATATTTTGTTTGATTATGTTATTAAAATTAATAAAAATAAATTATATATTGTAATTACGTTAGTAATTTAAATATAAATATAAGAAATATTTTTTAATATTATGTTAGTAATTTATTTTTTTAGTTTCAATATAACTATAATTAATATTAACTGATAAAAACTATTATGATTAATTATATTAATAATTTTATTTTTTAATTAAGATATAATTTAAATTTATATGTAAATAAAAAAATATTTTATAGTATTATGTTAATAATTTTATTTTTATTTTGAATGTGATTATGATTTGTATGTAAATTTAAATTAGATTTTGTTTGTTTATATTATTAAAATTAATGAAAGTAAATTATGTATTGTTATTATATTAGTAATTTGTATGTAAATATAAAAAATATTTGTTGTTATTATGTTAGTAATTTATTTTTTAATATAATTATAATTAATATCTGCTGATAAAAACTATTATGCTTAATTATGTAAATATAAAAAATATTTTTAGGTATAGTGTTAGTTAATTTTGTTAAAATTTTATTTAATTATGATGTTATTATAATTTTATAATAAATTAAAATAATTTATATTTAATTTGTGTAATGGGTCAAGATCGTGACATTTGTTATATTTCTGTAAGTTGTGTAATTGTTATGGTAAAATTTATTAAAATTGTGATACATGTCACCATATACGAGTTTTTTACTTTTAATGACTAAACTGCTTGTTAATTTTGTCATTAATATTACAAAATTATCTAAATACTTACACGTGTAATGATCTTGTTATTTCGCATTTTTTTTAGTAAAATTTGTTATTTTAAAAAAATTTAATATTTTTGCCAGTTATTTTAGAGAAACAGTCCACGTCAACCAAATCACTTTAGACAGGGAAATAGTTTTAAAAAACCTATAATTTAAGAAATTATTTTTAAGTTTACAATATTTAAAAAAAAGCCAAATTTGAGTAGATGCTGTATATTTTTTTAAAATTAATAATTATGATTTTTAATATTTAAAAAATCAGAGTATTTATATATTTTTAAATAAATTATTAAATTTATTATCTAATATCTTAAAATTTTATAGAAAACCGTAAAAATTATCATCACTTAATTCTATATATACAAAATAAGACAAATTTATGTTTTCTTCCAAGCTTATGCAGTGTGAACATAATGATTTCATTTTGTCGTAAATAAAGGTGCTATACTTTTTTCTTTTTTTTTTCTATAATTGCAAATTCTCAAGTTTGCTAGAATATTACATGAAATAACGATGATAATTATAATCCCGGAACTTGTATTATTGAGTCGTATCAAAACATAAAGAAAATCGCAAACCTTTCGGAACTCAAATCATCATCGTTAATCTTATTATTAACATTTATTACATTTATCAAATTAGTTTCTGAATTAAAGAAATATTATATTTAGACCTAATGTATAATATTTTTTATTTAAATTAATTTATATTATTACAACTTTTTATTATTTATGAAAATATATATGTAACATGTGTTCTGTTAATAATGTTTAAGTATTCTTTTAAGATTTCATTTGATATAATAATTAACAATTTAGAGACTAGTTTAACAAACTTGTTAAACATACAAATCACATAATTGATTAACGTGTCTTAAAAATAATATCATTTATTAATAACTAACTATAAATCTGCCTTGATTGTCACAGATAAGCCCACCACAGTTAATTAATTCCAGAGATTGAAAAATTGAACCATCTATATTAAACTTAAACTATTTTTCAAGAGGGGACTGTCATTTCACAAAACTATTCTTTCTCTGTTTATCTCTACCACAATAAAGAAAATATTTAAAGTTAAACAGAATTTTATGAAGCAGAGTTGCATAGAGCTATTTTAAGAAAGGACACAATTTTTATTCTTCTACAAGTTTCAAACAAGAACACCAAATAACTTGTTCTAAATAGGTACAGAGGAAAATTCAATTTAGACAAATTATAAGTCAACCAGTTGGAAAGGCCAAGACTTAAAAAAGGGGACCAATTATAAGGGAGGAAAGATTTGCTTCCAAATAGCTTTAGTCGCCCAACAATCTAGGAGAACTTAGGGACTTTCTGACATCTGAAACAATCAAGGGAATAAGTCAAATTACGGTTAGATTTTTCAACATTAGTTAAAATTTTGTCATGAGCAATTTTCCATGAAAAACATAAATTTTGGAGGGTCCTTCCAATCCCAAACAAGTTTAAATAAATTATTATTTTCAGAACTAGCTACTTAACATCAGTAATTAAATTATAAGCATATTTCATTGAGAAATTTCCATTAGACAACTTCTAAAACACCTTATCTTGACTATCAGTAATTAGAGGGATTGATTTGGGTAATCAAATCACAAAACTGTAGAAAGAAACTTTCTAATTTTTTTGCCAATCCCAACCTCCATGATTGGCAAAAAGGGCCATTGGATCATTCAAAATACTATCAAGATGGCTTAAGAAGCAGAACTTAAGAGATTTTGATTGGATAAGATCCAACTATTTTTTCAAAATCGAATAGACATACCATCACCTAAAATTCAACTTAAATCATTATAAAAACAGTCTCAAACTGAAACCTTATTCTTTCATAAAGGGAAGGAATTTTATTATTATATGGGGAAGGATTTTTTTATTTGGAGAATTAATAAACCTCCAATAGTTTCATAACAAAAGTCTGGTTCATAAGATTAGTATTTTTAAAACCTAAGCCACCATCATTTTTAAGTTTATAAATTTTCTCTCAACCTATCAAATGACATTTCCTACAATTTAAAGACCACTAAATAAATATTTTGCAAATATTCATGATATTTATGATACAAGATTAAGCTAAGTCAATCTTTTAGCAAAGAATAGAGAATTTATTTTCTAGATTGAATTTTTTTAATTTTATCAATAAAAAATACAAATTCATGTTTTAAAAATTTGAGATGACTAATAAAAATACTTAAATATTTATCAAATTAGAGACTTTCTAAAACTTAAAATAAGACTTATGCGCTGAATTAAAGAAAAATAATAATTTTTTAAAAAATAAATAAATAACTTCTCTTTATTGATAGATAAACTAAAAATTGAATAAAATAAATTTAAAATAAAATTAATAATCTTAGTATAATAATTATCAGCTTTAGAATGATATCATCCGCAAGTAAAAGATAAGATATTCAAGGACCTGAACGGATGAAAGAAAAAAAGGTTCCAATCACAATTATACACCCTATCATGAATCAAAGGGACCAGTTTCTAAATGCAGATAACAAATCTATCCCAAATCTATTGCATGATTCGGCGAATCTATTCCACTAAAGGCAATCTATTTTATTTAAAGAGAGGTCTACCTCTGTCGGAAATTTATTTTAGTTCAGTGGCACCAAGCCCCATCTATTCTAATTCTCTTAGCCTGATTGTTTTCAAATATAAACATTTTTTTTAAACATTCATTACAAGGAATATTTCTGCATACTCTTTGCAGAAATGTATTTTAATTTAATACTTTTCATCAATTAAATTTATTAAAATACTATAGTCTAACAGTATTGATATTTTTGGACGTGGAAAGGGTAAAGAAATATAAGAATAGTAGGTGTGATAAAAATAGAATGAATTATGAGGCCCACATTTTAATAAATATGGTCGTTAAATTTTATCAACCTTATTTATTTATTTATTTAAATAAATTCAAATTTAAAATTAAAATCAATTATTTAAATATTTCAACTGAAGTCATATTGATGCAAATAAAAATCATATTTTATTATTATTTTACTTTATTTTAAGTATGAAATTTTTATTAAATAATAAACTAGTAAAAATTATTTAAAACTAATAAAAGAATTATAAATAAACTAATTAGTCAAATTTAAACTTTAAAATTATTAATATGAATTAAACTCAAAATTTAAATTTAACTATTTGATATTAATAAAGTATTCTTTTATAGGTTTTTTAATATATTTTTATTTATTAACTAAAATTTTTTAGTTACTGACATGTATCTATAAATGAAGCTTTCAAGTTGAGAAGTTACGCCAGAGAGAGATGGGAGATATAGAAAGAGAAGCAATGTTAGAGCGGGAGAAGGAAGAAGAAGAAGAGGAAGAAGCACAAGCCCAAGTGGATATTTGGAGGTACATATTTGGGTTTGTGGAACTGGCAGTGGTGAAATGTGCCATAGAACTGGGCATAGCTGAAGCCATAGAAGCTCATGGAAGACCCATGACACTGTCGGAGATATCAACAACTCTAGGCTGTGATCCTTCACTTCTGAACCGCATCATTAGGTTCCTCACACACCGAAAGATATTCAAAGCCATACCCACCAGCCATGGCTACCCGGGCTATGCTCAAACACCTTTGTCTCGGCGTTTGATGAGAACGGGACAACATAGCATGGCAGCTCTTATTTTGCTGGAGAGTAGTCCTGTAATGCTAGCACCGTGGCATTGCCTAAGTGCTCAGGTCTTGGCCAATGGCAATCCCTCATTTGAAAAGGCTCACGGTGAAGATTTGTGGCGCTATGCTGCGACAAATCTTGATCACAGCAATCTCTTCAATGAAGCAATGGCATGTGATTCTAAGCTTGTTATGCCTATTATCATTGAAAGTTGCAGCGAGGCATTTGATGGTCTCAACTCCTTGGTGGATGTGGGTGGGGGCAACGGCACCACCACGAGCGTCCTTGTTAAGGCTTGCCCTTGGATTCGAGGAATCAATTTTGATCTTCCTCATGTCATTGCTGAGGCTCCAAAGTGTGATGGGGTGGAACATGTTGCAGGCGACATGTTTCAAAGCGTTCCCAAAGCTGATGCTGCTTTTCTTAAGGTATATGTGTCGTCAATTTGATTATTATATTGTATGGTTAAGACAGATTCATTAATTTGTTACTCAATTTCAGTGGGTTTTGCACGACTGGAGAGACGAAGAGTGCATCGAGATCTTGAAGAAATGCAGGGAAGCTGTTCCTAAGGAAAATGGAAGGGTTGTTATTGTGGAGGCAGTGATTGAAGGTGGAAAGCATGATGGGTTGAAGGATGTAGGATTGATGCTGGACATGGTAATGATGGCGCATACTAATTTTGGCAAGGAGCGTACCCTCAAAGAGTGGGAATATGTCATTCAAATGGCAGGATTTAGCAAATACACTGTGAAAACCATCCATGCTGTGCAGTCTGTCATTATTGCTTTCTACTAAAACTATAACAGAGAAACTCTAAATTTAAGTTTAAATTGTCGAAACGTTTAATGTTTGTGTGCATGCAAGGCTATAACTTATTAGCCTTCCCTCCAAATAAAATAGTAATCTATCCTTTATGCAGTTGTTGGTACGATCATCAATTCGTTTCTGCTCCATTAGCAATTCTTTTTTTGTATTCTACGTAAAGGTAACTTTTATTTTAAGTAAAATAAAAAAATAAAAATTCCAATATTATAATTAAGAGATATATGTTTAAATAATTCATTAAATAAGTAGAAAAATATAAATAGTTTAGATTTTTGGGAAACGGGACTAAATTAAAATTTTTGGAAATAATTAATTTGAGAATATATGCAGAAAAAATTTAGAGAATAAAGTGCACGTACAACCATTGATTAAAAAATTAACAATTTCATTACAATTTTTATTTGATAACACTATTCTTTCTTAAAAATTTTAGAATAAATTTCATTTTTTCACTACAATTTCATTCTTTTTTATTATTTTTTAACAATTTTGTGGAACTCAATTCCCTCAACTCTGGTTTAGATTGAGGACATTATTTTTTTATTTGATTTTAATGTTGATTACTGTTTATATTAATAATACAATGCTTTCTTTGCTTATACCCTTCCTTCACACACACATTTGGGTATATATATATATCCTTTTATTATTATCTCACATGGATATACAAAATTTAAATCAATTCGTTAAACTGAATTATTGCATAAAAATATTAAAATTTGAGTAATAAAAATGTAATTTTTTTAATTATCTTTTGATCAATCGTTAAATTGAATGTGAGTGAATGAATGAAACGAGAAACTGTTCTAATTCTATATAGCATATTTTTATTTTATACTTTATAAATATACTTTTCTTTTTTGTGTGCGTGATCTATGTCTCTTTTCTTTGAAAGAAAATTCAAACAAATAATATGTAAAGCATAAGATTGGGATATAAAAATTTAAATGATGAAAAGAATGAGCAAAGAAATAAGTTGGCTGACGGAATTTTAAAGTAAGAAATTTCTTACTTTTAACTTCTTTTTATTTGCTCAGTTCTTTATACCTATTTTATTGGCTAATTTTCTATCTATTGCGGTGTAAAGGAGAAAATTCTCATTTAGCATTTAACGGATACTTTTTCTACCCATTATGAATATTTTTTTCGGAAATATGTTGAATCTGATCTAATTGACATACCTAAAACAAGGTATATGTCCTGAATAGGGAGCGTAGTAAAAGCGTCACATGGCTAAACGCAACTACATAATATCAGAACAATATACCCTGCTAACACTCAAATATTATCACATGTACAGGCCCAAGGAATGTGTATGATTGTAATCTATTTAGGCTGGAGATGATTAGCGATATTTTTATTGTGATATACATATTTAAGTCTATATAATGCTTTTAAAGTAATATCGGAATCTTGGGTTGCATTCATTGCGTACTTTTAATATCATATAAGATAAAGCTCTCTCCTACATCGGTATTGCTTTATTTTTACTGACCATTCTGATGATGGTAAAAATTGAAAATTCAGAATACCAGAGATTGCACTACACTGTTATAATCCGCATTTAATGATTGTTAACAGATTGGAGAATACAGTTGCCAAAACAACTGTTATGCTTGCTTCATTTAGATCCCTGATATTCATTATTTTTTAGGAGGCTTTGATGGGGAATCGTTGTTGGCAACTAGGCATCTAAAAGCTTCTCAGGTTGCAAGAGATTGAGGATGTATACCATTCATTTACTCTATTAATAAATCGATGGCTTTCAATTCATTTTTGGTTCGAATGATAAATGTCACTGTTTCAAACACTAGTGTCGATGCTCACACGTAACCCACCGTTTTCCAAACCTGTATTTGGTGCTTCCCCCAAACCAAATAAGGAAAATCTCAATCTTTTCAGTACACACACAAAAACATTGCCATTTTAAAAGTCCATTTTCATTTTTATATGCGATGGTGGTGTAAATTTTGGTTGCATAACTTGATAAAAGTATCACTGATACTCCAATATTACTAACTAAAATATTACCATTTATACAGCGAACTTGATCAGAGTGCATACTAGATAATCCTATCCCACAATTTTAAACAGCAAAATATCTTAAGCTTGCTTGACAGTTGGCACCAAAAAAAAGTTAAGGGGAAAAATTGACTTTTGATTTTACGATATCGCATTGTACATTCAAGATCTCATTACATGTTGAAAAAATGGTATACAATATACGGTAATTGCTTTTACACTCACCTGCAATGATTTATCTCCCTCTCATCAATTTAGTAAACCTCCCTATCCCTCCCTCAAATATAAAACCTAAAAAATAGACGATCCATTCAAATTTTTTTTCATAGAATAAAATGTATGCCTCACAGCGAAGAACTTCATCAAGGGAATCTTCACGTACATATGCATCACTTGCCTGATACCATGTGGAACCCTCATTCACTCGATCACCCTTCCCTCTGTTCCTCTGGCTCCCTCTCACATAGGCAACATAGTGACCCCCTCTCATAGTTTCCAAGTGCTCCACTACACCAACTAAATGGTATTCATATGTGCCTTCATTAATGAACCTGTTTGAACAGAATTGGGGGTGAATTACATGCTAGTAGATCAATAAAGTATATTAAAAGAGACAGACTAAATATCTACAGTCTAAACTGCATTTACAAATCCAAACTGTTTGCTATTGTAATGAATTGAAACCATTGCCAAAACATTTTTGGTGATTAAATTAATATGATAACCCTTAACACTTAAAAAAAAAGGATAATGGGGGTAAACATGACACAAATATCAATACCTGGGATCAATATATGGTCTAATATCCATTACTTCTTTGAAATTGACATGGCCATTTAATTTACTTAAGCGACCACGGGCATCTTGGCTAAATCTCTTCAGATCAATGGTCAAGACAGGCAGAGCTTTATAAATGAGGACTCTCTTAGTTGCATCCCTCTTCACTTTCACACTTCTTGAGTCAGTCTCTTCTGAGTCATGGTTATCACTGCCTAAAACCAGAGAATCTCTTCTTTGGACATTTTCGGTAATACAAGAATCAGCAGCTGAAAGATTGCACCTTTCTTCATTGCAAGCTTCACGAAAACCTGAAGACTGTAATTCATCATTATGTTTATCTTCTATTTCAAATGCCCCATGATCCCTTTCATTAACAATTAAATTCAAGTTATCTCTTTGACCATTTTCAAGCTCTGTGCCATGTTTAACATGTGAAACAGAAGTTTCTATATTTTTGTCATTTTTTATGTCCCCATTTCCAATGCTTTTGGTTTTAACACAAGAGTTAGGTGCATGCCATGGTTCATCATGACTTCCTATCCCATTTCCATCGGATACAGTTCTAGTCTGTGTTTTTTCTTCCATCTTTTGACGCTGGAGAACTTTTGAACAGTTCCCACAATGCCATGCATTTTCATCTGAGAGCAACTCAGGTTTTATAAAATGTGGCAAGCAACTCTACACAGAAACCGGAGAATCTGTATCATCTTTTGCACGGGTTTATTTTATTTTTATTAAATTAATTTATTTTAAAATATAAAATATATAATTTAAAAATAAAAATATATAAATATGATAAAAAAAATTATTATATTAAATATAATTACACTGAAGAAAATTATGAAATACTATTTTATATATAATATTTTTTGTATATTTTATATATTTATTATCTTCTTTAATAATAAGTATTTTTATTTTTTTTGTTAATATTATTTTAGACAATACAACATATAATTGACCATAATTAAATATAAATTTTGTCAAATATAATTCAGTTTAATTTAATAATTGTCTTTAATAAGGAGTTTTGTTCTATTTCACATTCCTAATGTGGGATTGATGTTCTTAGGTAGCATAATTGACCTTCTTTCTTTGAGTTGCAAGCAATGGACAAGAAATTTATTAAAATTTAAAGTATTCAAGAATTTTATGGGATACATAAGTTCTTGTTTAATGATTTGATTTGATTTATCACCTACAATTTTTAAAAAAATATTAATAAATAAGTAAGCATAATTTTAATTTATGATTTGTATGATGAAATATTAATTATTGTGTATAATTGAATTATATTAATAAATAAATAAGTAAATATCATCACAGTTTATAATATTAATACCAATACATGCATCAATAAATTATTATAATTATTCTCTAATTAAAATAAAGAAGTAAATTAATTTTAAAATATGAAATAATTTTAAATAATTATTTATTAATGTAATAATTAGAATTAATAAAATTAAGATAATATTTATTAAGATAATAATAGATTTAATAATATGTTACATCTTGAAAAAGACTAATAAATAAATAAATGAAATTTTAATTTATATATATATACATTATACCGTCAAAAAAATATTTATTAAGTTTGTAATTTTTTTTTAAAAATATAAATATAACTTTAATATAAACAAATTAAAATATTATACCGTCATTAAAGAAATATACGTGTTCTAACAATTTTGACGTAGATCTGATGTATTTGAGATTTGATGATTACTTTCAAATATAATTTTTGTGTGATATTCATGTGTCTATCTCTTTAATATAATATTTGATATATCACATGATTATATAAAAAAAAATAAATCAATATTTAGTGAACCTGATTTAGATATTTTTTAAAATTAAAAAATATATAATTTTAAGAATATAGCATATTAAATAATTATATTAATAAAAAATATTTGTATTAAATTAATATTTTTATGTATAATACCTGTATTTTAATTTATATTCTGAGAACTAACTTTAAGTACACAAAATGACTGAATTTTTTCCATTATAAAGCATGGTTTTCTGCGATTGTAATTGAATACTTTTAGAATTTTTTTTTAAAATATTAGAACTTGTATTCAAATCTAAAAATTTTGAATAATCATATAGTGAGAATATAGAATTCTAATAAATAAATAAAATTTGATATGTTAATATAAATAATATTTTTATAATATTTTAAACACAAACCTCTATCTTTTTTGGATTGTAAAGTCTTTTGATAGTTGTGAAGATTTAAACTTCATACTCATAAAATTTTAAAAGTACGTAAAAAGGAAATATTTATTAACTTTTGAAACAAATGATATATATAGAAATTAAATCTAAAATTTGAACTTAATTTAAAGTTAAAATGTTATGTTTTCTTTACATATTCATTCATTACAATATAAAATTATTAAATATACAAAACGAACGGTTACATAAAGATTTAAATATTTAATAATATTTATTTTCATTATTATGATATTTAATAATATTTAATTTATTTCAATTATTATAATTAATTAGTTTTACTTTAAGAGTTTTGAATTTATCACCATCATCATAATATTTTATTAAAAAAATTGCAAAAAAATCATTTAGTAAAAATATTGTTAATTTTTTAATTTAAAAAAATTAAATTTTTCATAAAATATAAATAAAATATTATCTACATTAATTGGTTATACATAATTATGATAAGTCAATTCCTATGAAATTATTTTTAAAAAATTTAAAATAATAGAAGTAGAGAAAAACAAAAGTTGTTAAAAAATATTCAATTAAGATTTAGGTAGAAACTAAAAGAGAATAATAATTTTATTTAATATAAAAATTAATTTTTATATCAATTAAAATTACAGATGTTGATATAATATAAAATTTATGAATCACATATAAAATTTAAACAAATTTTATGTTAAGAATAAAGTCAATACATAATATAAATAAAATAAGATATATATATACATATATATATATATATATATTAAATAACAAAATTATTTTTTAAAAAACAGAAATGTTTGGTGACATTTTACTTTTCAAATTCTATATAAGATTAAAAATATTTATACAATATTGTAATAAAAATTGTTCAATCTTTTAAATCTTTCATTGTTGCCTTTTATTCACCATTTTTTATTTTATCTTCCTCAAGTTGCAACTTAATAAAAAATATTAAATATAAATTATTTTATGATCTACGAAATTTGAACAATATATTACAAATTTATAATTTATACATTAATTTCTTCTTTCTTTTATTTTGCCTTGAACAATTATTTTTTCTTCAATAAAACTTTGTGCATGACCACTCTAATCATATCTATTCATAAAATAAATAAATTTAGGAAACTAATTGATAAATTAAATACAAATAATATAACAATTTTAGTAAAGTTTTATAGCGAAATACTTGTTAAGACATTATTTTCACAGGAACTTTTCAAATCTTCAAAGTTCACAAACTTAAAGATATGGTAAAAAATTATGTTATCATTATTTAATTCCTTAATAATAGTTAGTGGCATAGAATTGCAACATAAAAGAATTATTTTTAATAGTAGAAAAATCTATCTTTGTTTTTTGCCAATGAAAAAGTTGTTATGAAGTATATTTTTTCTTCTTTTAATATATACCTTTCAACCGATAAGAAATACTCCGTACTATAGAAGCATGTATGTAATTGCTCTATAGAAAGAAAAAATTAATCAATTAGAAAATTTAAAAATAAACTTAGTTAGTTAATTATTATATAACAACATATAAAAGACAACGTAATTATAATTTATTAAAAATAATAAATTTTTAATCAAGAAAATTCTAATATTAATACCTTTTCATCAATTAGTACCGTATTAGTACTAATTAACTTTTTTTTGCGATATATATTTAGTATATCTCATAATCGTGATCCATTTATCTTTATTAGAACTTGTTATTCTCTACAAAAGCATGAAAAACATAAAAGTAAATAATTACTTATGATGTATTAAAGAAAATAATGATAGATTTTATATAAATTAATCAGTTAAAAATAAAATTCAATACATGATATCATTTAAAAATAATAAACCTTTATGCTTACACAAAAAATTAAATTGAAATATATAACACAATTTAGTAAAACAAAATAAAAAATATTAACCTCAAAAACATATATACTTACATGATTACAAAATACAAAAAAAAAAAGACAATAGAAAGAACAGTAAGTCACTGGAACAAATTCCAACTTAAAGATCTAGGAGGGAAACACACTTTATACCTTGTCTATTATACCTCTTATAGAAAATGAGTATTCGCTCGTATCAGAAATGCTTAGAAAAAACTTTATATTTAACTCTAACTGAAACTTTGACTAGCTCACATAAAAGTAACTATAAAGGGACATTGTTGGCTTACTTTCTTATCAATTGTATGCCTTTAATAGGATTTTTTTTTATGCTTGATACACAAATGAGTCATTTAATAGATAAAGATAAACATGACTTATATAAGTGGAGATGAAGTCTTATTTAGAGATATATTAAAAGTCAAAAAATAGTAAATCAATATAATAAAAGTTATTTTTTCATTTGTATTATAGTTTACTTACCTTTTTATTGAAAATTTAATTTAATAATATATAATATATATAATATAAAATAATAATAAACATTCAAATGTTGAATAGAACTTAAAATAAAGATATATTTTTATATTTAATTAAAAAGTAACTCGATAACTTCATCAATTTTTTTAAAAAATATTTTTGAACAATTTAATCAATATTATTTTTTCTATTTTTATTAAATATCATTCATAATAGTTTTGTTACTGTCATTTTTAACATGATATAACTATCAATTTTAATAAAAAAATTTTAAATACAATTCAAAGGTAATAAGTATGAATTAATTATAATTATAATTCTTAAATTATGTAAATGAGTATAATTAATTTCAATAATTTTTAATTTAATATAGTTTTAAATTATCTTATCTTATATATAGTATTTTCAAATTTATACGTAAACTTGTCTTTTTTTTAGAAATTTAATTTAACAATATATAATATAAATTAATAATTTTGTAAGTGTAATTTTTTTAATTCAAAGTATATTTCAGTGTTTAAAGACCTAATGGTCCAAATTTTACTCCATAGTGTAATTGATAAACAAAATGGTCCAAGACTAACCAGGGCCCTTTAAACAGGCTCAGCTTATAACCCTCTATGCTATCAAATTTTATTAAAAAAATTTATTATTTAAGTCTAAGATTTTCAGAGAACCATTTTCCTCCCAAATACAACTCATTTTCTAATTTAGGTAATTAAAACTAACTGATTTACTCAGAAGTTTCGCAATTAATGTAAATTTCCAAGAGGCACACCACTTATAATCCTCAAGGGAAATCTTAATGTCAGGGCATAGATTTTGAGCCGAGTATTGTATTTCATCATTATCTTCTGGTTTAGAGATTAGGTTAAAATCATCTAATACTAATTTAAAAATTTTAGAATCATTAAAAACTAAATCAAAGTCATTCACACCTAATACTTTATCCTTGTACAAACAAGAATTAGAAAGTTTAAGGTTAGAGAACATATGGCAC